AATGGCTATGTTTCTTCAAGTAAGCAAAGTCCCTCAGCGAAGTAATCATGAAAGTAAAGATGCAGCTGGATCGAATTTTGCAAAGAAATTCACATGTTACTGCGCAAACTTGAGAATACGGTGGTGTTGTAGGTGGCACCTGCATTGCCTTGAGATACTACTGATAAAATGGCTTGAATGTGCTAACCCCTGTAGCATCAGGAAAATAGCGGTAAGTTTGAATGTGCTAACCCGTTGCACATATCAGGCGTGATTACGGTTTGATGTAAATCTTGTTGGAGAAATCAAAGGTGTATGTTTTAAAGCACATGAGAAGCTCTATCAGATTCCGTTTGCAGTTGGAAAATCTTCGAGAAGTTTTTCAGAAATCACCTCGCCGAACAAAATATGTATTTTTCTGAATCTATAGATTCCGCTGTATCGATTGATGCGAAGAAAGTGATAAGTTGCTGAGCTAGCTTGTGTGTACGGTAGATTTGAAGGTGGAAAACTGTATAACATTAAGAAAACAAGTATATCTCCTCAAGTGAGAATAATTGCTCAACAAAATTACGCACTTCTGAATCTAGAGGTTCCGCTGTATTGTATGGTGTAAAGAAAATTATGTGTTTCTGTGCAAACCTGAGAATACGGTGGCCCTGAATATGGCCACCTCGATATTCCTATAGTAACGTGTAAACCTAAGTTTTGCTGAGCAATTATGGCTGCTATTTTCTTAAAGCTACCTGAACTAGCGCCGTAGCACTCATTCATATACACTGATGGTAAACTAACTTTTTTAGTTTTCCTAATCCTCTTTCGAAATGCAAACATGAATTAAGTTTCTAATACAAAGAATACTTTTCAAATGGTGATGTTCCTGGGAAAAGATTCAAAATGTTTGGAATTCATCAGAAACAAGCAAATGAAATGGCTTACGACGTTTTGTGATTGATTTGTGATAAACTGTACTTTTCTTTTATATTGTTAGTGAAGAAGATGTGATTTATGCTCACCCATGGTATGTGATAAATGTGATTGAAGATGAACGATTTTGTTCTCTCCTAATCGTGAAGATGAATGGAAATAACTTAATAACTGCATAACTGATTCTGAAATTACTGTCGAGATTCCGTTTGAAATGGGTTAGTGATATCGCTATGAAATCACTATGATTAAGTGCAATGTTTCGCCATTCTGGAAGTCGCAACAAATCAGATTACCAAAACGGATCAAACATTACTGTTCTCCACGCTCTAAAGTGCGTTCCTCGTGGTGTGTTCCCTCTGATGATTTGGAACTGTAGAATTGAAAAGTAAAATCGTTTTGTCATTTTTCAGTTGGCGCTAAGGATATGAACGAAGTAGTGCAATTTCATCTTCAAGTGTTCACGATTTCATGATATAATGAATTCTTAGTCCTGCTAGTAGTATGAGGATTAAATGGAACCTCAACTTCGATGAACAACGTTGGAAAATGGTGCAGAAAAAAGTATTACATTTTAATGCGAAATTTACAATCCCAGCAAATTGAGACGTCCGAGAAGTAGATGGATACCCCAGGAAATAGGAGGATTCCCTCCCCCCTGGGGAAAGGGGTTTCTGGGAGGGAAAACAGTTTCGTGGGAGAGTTAGCAGTTGCTCATCAAAACAGTAGTAATTCCGTTCGCATCACAATGCAATACTGTTTACTGAGCGATGTCTCTCCCTCATCGTTTACCGACTCAACGTCTGCGATGCACAACATTTTTCCGTTCAACCATACGCACGCAGAGCGATTGGTTAGCGCATTTTTTTGCGACGCCGAATGTGATAACCGAGTTTTTTTCGCGATGCCTACTACTCGGACGTCACGATTTATTAGGCGAATTTTTTAGATTTCACAATTTTCGTAGAGAATTGCAATTCAGTAACATTACAAGTTGAAGAAGGTGTTCGTTTTAGTTATTCAAAATATGATGCGTTTTGCTTATTTCGACACGAGAGTTTTATTTATTCGTGTGGGTTTGCGTTCTCAAGGTATTTGATGAAATTTCGTGAAGTTTTATTGTAACAGACTAGGACTTGACCTCGTCAGATTGTATCCAGCAGTCATGTAATTATTCGTTTAGATTTGTCAACGACGAAGATCAAATTTGCTGTTGCGTTGAAGAGGAAACGATTGAATTCAATCTTTACATATCACCAATATCATGGGTGTTCCAGCGTTCTTTCGGTGGTTAACCCGTAAGTATCCGTCTGTTATTGTGAATGCCGTCGAGGAGAAACCTCGCGATGTGGACGGCAACGAAGTTCCGATCAGAACCACGGAGCCGAATCCCAACTTTCAGGTCTGAATTATAAAATTTTTTACTCAGGTTTGCCATTCCGTTGCTCCATCATCGAATTCTTCCGTTATTACATCCAGAAATCTTTTTTTTTGTTTTTTGCAGGAATTCGATAATCTTTACTTGGATATGAATGGCATCATTCATCCATGTACACATCCGGAAAATCGACCGGCACCGAAAAATGAAGATGAGATGTTTGTAAGTTGATTTTATAAATTACCATAATAGAATTCATTCGTTGTCTACCTTTTTACGACAATTTTCTTTAAAAAACCGAAAAATCTATTCTGTTCGTTCGTTCTTCCTATGAGACGAACTGAAGATTTTTTGAAGTTATCCGAGAATTTTTCAGACTAGTATTGATGCGAATTCAATGGATTAGTATTGCATTCTCAAAAAAAGGAAGGAATTTCAAATTTCAGGCTCTGATCTTCGAATATATCGATCGTATATTCGCGATCGTGCGTCCTCGTCGTTTGCTTTATATGGCCATTGATGGTGTTGCACCGAGGGCCAAGGTATCTGTTTGTTATTGCTCGTTTGTGACTTTTAAAATCGACATCCTCACAACGATGAGTTGTTGGTTTTTCAAGTGTATTCGAGAAAATGCAAAATTAGAACCGCACAAATGTGGGCTGTATCTGAGCATTTCATATTCTTCTTCGAAGGTTAATCTCTCATACAAACTTCAGATGAATCAACAACGGAGTCGTCGGTTTCGTGCATCGAAAGAGGCTGCTGAGAAGGCGGCTCAAATTGCTGAAGTTCGAGAGCGTTTGGAACGAGAGGGTTACCCTTTGCCACCGAAGAAAGAGGATGAAGAACACTTTGATAGTAATTGCATCACACCAGGTACACCTTTTATGGCGAGGTAAGCAATTTTGATTTTTAAAAGTCAAATTTAGTTCTTATCGTAACTTGACGGAATTCGATCATTCAATTAAATGAATGCGTCTTCACATTCGATGATCGATAATTTGCTTGAAAATTTTCTGGACGACCTTTTTTGCGAATGATTCGCATTTTCATTCAATTTTCATTTGAAGAGCTTTGGTATTGAACAGACATTTGAATATTTCAGCACCTAATTATGCGTTTGAATATTTCAAATGCATAATTAGGTGTTGAAAGCAATTTTGATTATGAATGTTTGTCGTGGTGGTGCTCACACCAAACTGAATTGAAAAGCAGTGAGCAACGGCATAACTTTGGTATATTTTCCAGTTATTTAATTGTTCAGATTAGCGGATGCGTTACGATACTATGTTCATGTACGTCTCAATAACGATCCAGGATGGGAGAATATTGAAGTTTGTTTTTAGTGTTCAGTTTCGGAAGAAAGATTTCTTTTGAATTTTTCGCTCCTTCAGTTAAACTGTTATCTTATCCATCATATTCACTTGCCTCATTTGACGTAGTGGAAGGTTACTGAAGGATCGGATGATTGGAAGAATTCGAAATCGATGAGATTTGTTTCATTTAGGTGATCTTATCGGATGCGAATGCACCTGGTGAGGGTGAGCATAAAATAATGGATTTCATAAGACGTCAGCGAGCCTCTCCATCGCACGATCCGAACACAGTGCATTGCCTTTGCGGTGCAGACGCGGATCTAATCATGCTTGGACTGGCAACGCATGAACCGAATTTCAATATTATTCGAGAGGAGTTCATTCCGAATCAGCAGCGTCCTTGTGAGCTATGTGGTCAGTATGGACACGAGCTGAAAGAGTGTCAAGGGTATAAATTCTAATATCATTTAGACCGTTCTCATTCCAGTAATTGTCAAACTTTATCGTTGTTACCATCATTCTCATTAACTTTATAATTTTATTCATGCTACTATAAAATTGCTATTATCAATTCGTACAGATTAGCGCAAGATGAGATCGCCGAGTGTGAATCGACTCCGATGCAGAGGGAAACGAATTTCATCTTTGTTCGATTACCAGTGCTGAGGGAATATTTGGAGAAAGAACTTCAAATGAACAATCTTTCGGTTCCATTCGATTTGGAACGTGCCATTGATGATTGGGTATTGAATTTGGTTCTTATGCAGTGGCCTATTTGTAATTTGGTGTTTTGCATTGGTGTTTCAACGAGATATTATTTCAAGGTGTTCATGTGTTTCTTCGTTGGTAATGATTTCTTGCCGCATTTGCCTTCGTTGGAAATTCGAGAGAATGCGATCGATCGTCTCATAGCGCTCTACAAGGACATGGTGGCCAGAATGGGAGGGTTGGTTTCGTTGCGTTTTTATGTCGGTGACTGTTTCTTGGAAGTTGTTTCAATTCAATTTATCCATCAATTTATTGAATTGATTTCTTCGATCGTTTTTCTGCACTGTAGTTGATTCATAATCAGGGTTTGAATGTTTTTTTTCATTGTTCTTCGCTTATGAATGATATTTTGATGAGTGGTTATTCGTATTTATCAGTGACTTCGTTGAAAATTCGTTTGGTTTTTTGGCCTCGGAAAAGTGTTTGGCTGAATGGATTAAACGTCAGTAAACAGCGGTTTTTTGATCAGATCTTTTAGGTATTTGACGAATCAAGGTGATGTTCACATGGACCGAGTGCAGAAAATTTTGAATGGTTTGGGTGAAGTTGAAGATGAAATCTTCAAAACGCGTCAAGTAAGTCGTTTTTATACGTTAGCTGAACTGAAAAATTCCAGGAATTTTCTTTTCTCGAAATGAATTGAAAATCAGCGGAAATATTCAATTCCAGATGGTTGAGTATCTAGCTTAAATATAGCGTGAATGTGCAGAAATTTATTCAGTTAACAAACTTTTCATAGTGTCTCCTATTGAATCCGTTCATTGCGTGAGTGTTATTTAGTTGATCATAGTGATATCACTTGGAGGAAGAATTTGTAAGTTTTGTGAATTGCAGCAGAAAGAAGTTTTCTTTCGTGAACGAAATAAAGCGAGAAGAAGGCGTGAACGTGCTGCCACAACTCCAGCCTACATTCCGGGTCGAGGTTCATTGTTGGCGCCTCAAGCTGATGGACCCGTATCGTTGAGTGGCGCCGAAACGAGGCGTTTAGCTCGAGATGCTAGAGTTCAAGTATCGTTTTTGTGGCTGCGCTCTTTCAGTTTTGCATATGACTTATGTTTGATGTGAAGCGGATTTGGATAATTGAACTTGAAAAGGGTTTAGAGATGATAGTGGTTGGTTTGGTTGATGTATTATTTTATGTATTATATCATTACGGGTATGTTCTATTCAGGCAATGGAATATAATATGGCTTCAAACAGAGGCAATCCAAATGAAGCTGCAAATCAAGGGAATAGAAAACGAAAAATGCAAGTAAGAACGTATGCTTGTTTGATATCATCTCAGATGCGTTCTGTTTAATTTAACCAATTTCGTGATTCGTCCGTTTTTCGGAGAATTTTGTTTTCTATTATTGTTGTAAATAGCTGTTTCGAATAATTTTCGTTTTTTCGCGGTATTTCGTCGGATGGTCCATATCAGTATGACCGTTTTGAGCGTTGGTGTTATCATAATTGTGCGATTCTCCTGAAGGAGTGCTGCAATCTGTAGTTTTTAACATATTTCCGTTGCGTATGGTAGGTCTGATCGTTTAGGAGGACTCTGAGGAGGAAGAAATTCACGATGAGGTTCGCTTATGGGAAGATGGATGGAAGGGACGATATTATCGGTCAAAATTTCAAGTGGACGGTGACGATATTGAGTTCCGTCATCGTGTTGCATGGGCGTATGTGGAAGGACTTTGTTGGGTGCTGAAATATTACTATCAGGTTGTGAACGTTTTCGAGTATCAATACATTGTGTCCGATTTTTGTGACGGATTGAATACTTATCAGTTGTTGTAGTTGCTGAATTTAGAGATTCATTTTGATCGTTTTTGATTTTAAAGTTCCGTTTTGAAGGGTTGCGCAAGCTGGAATTGGTATTTTCCATATCATTACGCACCGTTTGCGTCTGATTTTGACACCATATCGGAGTTCAAACCAGATTTCAGTGCGATCACTGAACCGTTTAAGCCTCTTGAACAACTGATGGCCGTTTTTCCGGCTGCGAGCAAGTGAATTTTAAACTGTTTTTGAATTTCATTTTGTTGCTTCGCATTGATTTTCAATGGAGTTACAAATCGAACTCGAATTTTAAGTTGTGAAATGAATGATTTCTTGTAACTTTGCGGTTTCAACTTCACAATGACTCATCCATTTGCTTCTTCTTGTTCTTCTTCTTAAATCGATTAATTTTGAAACGTCTTTTCTAAGAAAACATTTGCCTGAAACATGGCAACATTTGATGACTGATGATGAATCACCTATAATCGACTTTTATCCGGAAGATTTCCAAGTGGATTTGAACGGGAAAAAATACGCATGGCAAGGAGTGGCATTATTACCATTTGTTGATGAGAGTCGTCTGCTGGAAACACTGAAAACGGTTTGTGGTGAAACACTATTTGATTCATTCATATGACTTTTGATGGTTGCGTGCAACTGGTTATTTTGACAGTTAATGAAATATTGAATGATTTTATTAAGTGGTTGGTTCAGTTAGTGAATTGATCTGGTGATCGCATAGCTGCAAAGAATCGATTATACGTTTTATTAAGTATGATATTGTCTGAATGAAAATAATTTGTTGACGGCTTGAGTGAACAGATTCTCTTTCAATTGTACCAGAAATCAGCTAATGCAATGTTAAGCGAGATTATAAAATCCTCCGTAAGCAGTAAAGAACTCTAAATATATTTACTGAGCATTTCGTTCTAGATTGTTTTTTTTTTCACTATAGAGTGAATGTGTTGTTTTCAGTTCAAACTGGAACGAAAATATTTTTATTATTGAAGGTCTATGAAACTTTGGATGCATTCGAAAGGGAGCGCAATTCAAGAGGACCGGATCGTATCTTTGTTGGACCAAAACATCCGTTTGCTAAATTCCTTCAGCAGCTCTATGAAGGATCAGGTTGGTAAGCTGCTCACTGGCAACTAAAAATGATTATCATCACTTTATGTTGAAATCGGTAGTTCTGACATGAAAGAATTTCGTTATTGCAAGGTTTGTGCAACGAAGACTTTAACTGAATATTCAGTGTTACATCTTATGAAATAGCGATTTTATCGATTCATTTTTGATTTATTACAGCAGAAGATGCTAAAAACTTCATCACACTTGATGCTCAGTTCACCAATGGTATGGCTGGTGATGTTGCGGTTGATCCGAAAGTTGTTCCAGTCGGCAAACCGTACCCATCACCTGTTCCACTCGACTGTTGTCCGAGTATTCAGGTAATTTTATTGTTCTCTATTAATATCATTCACATTATCAACATTATTATCCGCACCGTTAGTGTCGTTATGTTTATCGTTGTTGGTATTCTCGTCAGGGATAGTGTTGCTGTGATGAATGAATGTATAATATCTCTTTTGTTTGGTGAATTCATATTCTCGATATATCAGTTTCCTTTTTCTTAAAAATTTGTTTGTTGAGATGAGCTTTGGTTTTCAGTCGAATCACGCAATTATGGCGATCTATCAAGATCCACAATTTGACAGATCCTTTGTTTTCTCGACGAAACGCCTTCCTGGTGCAAAAGAAGTGCCTCGAACGTTGAAGCCATCCGATTGGAATCCAAATGAGGTACGTTATCTGTTGTTCGTGCGACGCTTTTCCTTTTGGAAAATTCACATCTTCCGAAACTTAATGCATTGATTGATTGCAACGATGCGTTTTCAGTCGTATCGACCACAAATCGGATTCAGTCGCAATGTACCTCGTGGGCAACTGGCCGATGCAGGTCATCGTATGATAGCACATGAGATGTCGTTCCAACGAAACGGTCCGTCAGGTGTCGTTCAGGTCGATAAGCAGTGGCGTACGGATCAGCGACGTTTCAACCGAGCTGCACCGTACCCTCAACAACAACAACAGCACTATAATTCCGGTGGCGGTCCGTCCATGAATCCACCGTAAGTTTCAGGTTCTATCAAAAAGAGTTCTTGCGATTATACGTGATCATAGCAGTTCGTTCCTTTGTGGTTTTCAGAATCGATTTCAGTAATTGTGAAATGTTATTTTACTTCGTTCCGTTTTACATACACATGATTATTTTGGAGTTACTTAGACCATCGTTTTCACGTGGTTTTTTTCGGTTTTAAATGAGAAACTCGCATTTGATCGCGTGAAATTTTGAAAGCTGTTGCTCGCGAATGCGACTGAAACTATGTCAACTATCAGGAAGGAAACGTTTTTGAAATCTTCTCTGTTGAAAGGAGGCAAATGTCGCCTTTTAAATGAAGAATATAACATATTCAACTCACTTGTTTATTCATCTGTTTAATAGTAGAGGCGGTGAGCAGTGAAAATTTCAGTGACATGAGCGGATACCATCAAAGTAGGGATACGGTTCGTCGAAATCACAGTTTCCATGGATTTGAGGGACGATCCGAATACCCAAATGATCGTGGCTATTATAATAGCTCTCAACAAGGTCAACAACAGCAACAAAGATATCCGTCAGGAGGATATTACAATAATGGTTATAATAGGGGCGGTCGGGGTGGTAGAGGGGGATCAGATTGGTCCTCTAGAGGTGGCGGAAACCGATGGTAAATATTTGATTGATTGCGCGGATCACATAAAAATGGGACCTGTTTATTGAGTTGATTCATTATGGATTATTCAGTTGATGTGTGAAAAGTTGTTGATTTCAGTGACATTTTGTTCCTTTTTGAGTGTTTTGTGGCCGAATTTTGTCGTTTTTGTCATTTTTCATTTCTTTTTTTCATTCATCGTCTTTCTTGTTTTTCAAATTTTGAAATATTGTTGTATTTTATTGTAATTGTGAAAACTTGCAATCAGGTATAACCATCTAAATTTTATTTGTTTGTTGTTTATTTTCTTAAATTGTGTCAGATCGTTGTTGTTCTATTACACTTTGTAGCGAAATTTAAAAACACCATTGTTGACTGAGTCTTTTCATCGATGGAGAAGTGACCAGGAATGACTCTGGAATAATTTAGCCAACAAAATCGGTGCTACATAGTGTTATTAATTCATCTGCGTATATGACCTCGTTATATTTGTTTGTCTTTTTTGCGCTTGTTTGAATGTTTCATCGTTGATATCTTGTGCACTTGTGCGATCTTGCAAGAAACTTTAACGGAATGAATTGTTAGGGATTGTTGAAAAAACATTGGGCAGTATGCGCGGTTTTGAGTAATCATACGCCTGTAAAGCCTTTCATATAGCTTTTGATGCTCATTTTATGTTGTTGTTTCCTTTCACAAATAATTGAACAATTTCGCGAGTCTTTATTCGCTCCTTCCTCCTTCTAAGTAGGCGATATTCATAACTTTATGAATGGGAATGAAAAGTTCGACATGAAAATGAGTCCTCTTATAAACTAAACCAAAAGTTCATTTTGAAGAAAAAGAGTGATTAAAAATTGCCTCACGTAGAAGAGTTTCCTTGGATGGTGAACTTGACTTCTCTATTGAAACATGAGTCTGGTTAGAGGCCGGTTTCTATGTATTTATTCAAGTTCACATCTTCAATTGCTTGACTTTTAGTGTATTCTTGGACTCCTTAGACGTAGAAACCGAATATGCCAAGAAGATGTAAGGCCAAATCCTTGGCTGTAACTAATTAGTTGACACGGGAGAGCCGATAGGTCAGTTTCATTCCATACACCTTAAAAATATCCAATTGATCTTTTCTATCGCTTCGTCAAAAATTAGCGTACCTGATGTCATTCGCAAATTACTCCGATTTTACAATCATTAACAAGAATGAGTGCGATAATATGAAACAGTTTCGGATGGTTAATGAAATTACGACTTTATCCTTCGAACCAATCGGTTTTCGTTACTTTCTGATGATTGATTTAATCAGGTTGTTGTCCTTTTTGAAAGTATGGAATCGCATCTTCTTTTATGCACAATTTTATTGTGCGTTTGTTTGTTCCAAGAACTGAATTGTTCATCATGTTGTTGAGACACTTTTTGTGATGTTGAATGCTTCATTTTGTAGAAAAGTTCACTAGTGATTCTTGGATGGTTTTTTTTTTCATTTAGAATTATTGTTATTGTTGTTTCGTTTAAGTAATATAAAATGAAAACAATAATGAACGCTTTTGAATCAATCGAGTTTACTGTTCTTTTGAATGTTCCAATTAATTGATTCACAGCAATAACAGTCATCGCATCGTTGTCAACAACTCTAGTTCAGAAAAGGATTCTTCCGAAAAATTCAATTGTTAACACCACGTCAATCACATTCACACCAAAAAGCAGATCACACAGCTTCTCCTTCAAAGTTGGATAGGTTGAGAAAAACTATTGTAAGTGTACTCTGGATTAAGCAAAGCGACTGCGCAGGAAGCTCTGTTTTGATTGATATAACCCGTGAGTTTCATCAATACGCTGGCATATGGATAACGGGATTGTACGTTGTGGCAATTTATTCGATCTTTTCCAGCCGTATTTTACCTGTGTCAGGTACTATTACAGCACGCAAACCCAACTGTGCTAGCAGCCGATCACGATCGATGACAGCCGAAGGGAACTGCAATTCAAGATGATTAATGGTGATAAGCCATCCAAAAACTATTTGTCTAATAATCGATCACATTACATCACAACGATAAAAAACCTTATCATAGATCAAAATTTCAAAACTATCCTTTAATGTCACCTGTTCAATAGATGCTAGTCGTTGTTGATTCTGTGGACAACCCATACAGACATAACGTAATGCAGCAATTGCCCATTGCATCTGAATGAAGCTTTTGAATTTAGTTTGAAAATTTCAAGTTTATATTAAAATATCCGTTAGCTACGGAATCAGAAGAAAAAAACTGCAAAATGAGGCAAATTTTAAGAATGTCACACTAATTACGAGAACATTCCTAAATGAGCTGCTCAAACTGATCATTTTTTCACGGAGCATCAACATATATTACACGTATTCGGGGGTTTTAATTTTTTGACTTCTATTTCAAACTGAAATTCTCGAATATTTGATGTGCTTATATTAATATATGGATTGGTTAAGTTATCCGAGTTTGAGGTGGATCGATTCAATTACCCAAGTTTGAGGTGAACCGATCCACCTCAAACTTGGGTAATCTATGATCAGAAGATTTCAATCTGTTCGTGAAATAGCAGTTTGTTCAGCAATATGGAATTTAAATCTAGCATTTTAAAGTCATTTCCACGATTTCGAGATACAATGAAATTTCTTAAGTATGAATAAACATCGCAACGATATCAATTCAAAGCAGTCAAATGAGCAATTCTCATACAAGGAACGGAGAATCGGTATCGAGTCGTCTCGCACAGTGCAACAATAGAATCACTCCATCGTGTTCACCAACGATATTCTGATTCAATTCACTCTCACAGCACAAATTGCCTATCGCTTGAACACATGCGCTCTTCAACGAAGCAATTTGTTGCGCACTCACGTTATCACATCTGAACAATAGCCGTCAAGATTCGGTAATCCAAAACTGATCTATCAACAATTCTTTGATTTACAATTTTGATTCCTCAATTTGATCTAAATTACCAAGTATATTCGATCGAACATTTCTATCCAATGTTCCTTCCAAAAACATCATTATAAACCTACACTGAATCCTCCTCATAATCGCGTAATTCATTTCATAGCACAATCATTTATTAGAATTCTAAAGAACTATTGTCAGCAATTTTCATTCACTTCATATAGTCACAAAGAATCACAAGTTAGCAATCACTACTTGCACTTCAATGCTCGTGAAGACTGATTGTGAGCGGTTAATGGAAACAAGTTGATCTAATATGAACAAATACATTACACGTTGATATGATATCGATGTTGATGGCACAACACAACTTATCACTCACTTATTTCGAGTTTTTCCCATACACCGTGAAAATGTTTGCTCATTGAGTTAAAAAAATGACTGAAAAATATGTTAGGAAACGAATGGAAATGATTNAAACGATGAAAAATACAAAAACCTCAATAAACGGGAAAAATTATCGACGAATGGTAATTTGATGGCTTCTCTTCGAGTTTGTTTCGGTGGTACAGGGCGATCATGAGCCTTCGGAATGTGTGGAAGAGCGTTCTCTTTTACGATCTCGCAGTCAACAACCTTTAATTGAAATGAAACAGTGTATAATTATTGCATCTTTCAATATTTACAGAAATGAATCATTTTCTCAGAACTCATATCCTCTTCAGGAAATTCTTTCCTATCATTGGTTTTAGTAATAATTTGCAGTTTTGTAAAAGAATCACTGGACATGAAATATGAAGAAGAGAATCAATCAGCAAACACTTCATATAAATTCGACTATGAAAATGGTTTCGTTTCTAAAAAGATTGAAATGTGAACAAATTGATGATTTGAGAATGGTTTTTGTTTGGAGCAACATGAAAGTTCTGTTTGAAAAACAAAAGCATTTTATAAAACCGATGATACTGCAGTTGAACATCTCAAATGAAGTGTTCTGAGCACTAATTCAATTTTAGCCTTTCTCATTAAATTTCTCCAACCCAGTTGTACATTATTAGTGAATATTACAATGACGAACCGCTTCGAGAGATCGTATCACCAGGCACGTTGCTGTTGTATCGTTATGAAGAATCGCATCGAACTGCGGTCTTCTAAGTGCCATTGAGGCAATTATTGAGATTAAACTATTGACCACGTCAATCGTGTCAAATTTCAACTTCATTTCACTTCTATCAACAATTTCTTTCACATCGTCCGTTGACGACAGCACAACTTCACCGATTTCGTACTGAATTCGTTCCAAAAGATTCATACAAAAACGTACATTATTGGAATGTACCTGGAACGTGTTCATATGCTTCACTTCGTAGTAACAATACTGAATGCGGGAGTTACAATGGTAATGATCCAATTTATCGAGTGAAGATTTCAAAATATCAGATGACATCAAAAAGGCGGTACCTAACAGATCTAAACGCTGGAAGAAAGGATCAAGAAATGCAACTGTTTAGTTATCAAAGACAGAAGAGGGCATGATGGGTCAACTTCCTCCCATCTGAAGCTGCAAAACTTGGCAGTTGATAGTCATGAACATTGCATACCGGAACAGTGTGGCCGGTTTCAGAATGATCGACAAGTGTTTCAACAATAACCAATAATTCACTGAACGCATTTGCATCCATATCGGCAAAACAGTCTGCTAAAAATGCGTAATCTTCTTCTAAATATATTGCGATCAGAGCCGATATCCAACTTCTGAAAACGATGTGAAGGAGGCAGTGTATTACGGTATTATTTCATACGAGCTGATGCCATCTGATGAAGAATGAATGAATCAGTTTTGACGAGATTATATTGAATGAAACATTCAGTACCAATGTTAGTCATTGAGAGGGAGAGTGAATTTCTGTGGAATGCACTAAACTCGCGTCTATTACCTCTCATTTGCGGTAGTTGATTGATGACTCCATAACTGAGCGATATCATTCAAAAGATCGGAATATTCGGAACACAGTACAGATTCTGAATGAATGAGAAACATATTGATCGCAATGTACCATTATAATTTTTAAAATGTCACGTTTGAATGAGTGAGAAATTTGAGTATCTTATGGAAACAACACAGAAACAAAAATTAGTTCATTAGAATCAATATCAGCAAATGAAAAGGGGATGTAAGGTGCTCAAAATTCATATCATGTCTTCGGAACTTGCAAGTTATACTTGTCATTCTTCGATCAATTATCCCTCTGTGAGTCAAGTGTAAATGTGTTCTCCTGATGAGAACAACGCCGTCAAAAAGGGATTCGCAAAATGATGCATGACTGCTTTATTTGAGAACGAAAGAGCTCACAGTATCAAAAAGATCCCGGCAAATAGAAATCTGATTTAAAACCCTCATGAATAACCATGAATCGAAAATAAATGAAACATAAGCACACTTTTATGTAATGGTTTGGCAAATGCAACCAAACATGCTAAAACTTCTCTCTTAAAGTATTCCAATCGAAGCATCGCTCTAAAATATCGTATCGAATCCTCTTCTATACTTTCACGTAATCTAAATTTTGGATTTATTATATTATAATCATCATCAGTTCAACAAAAAGCACTGCTAGAGCAATAACAATAACAATGATTTTAGGTGATTCTCTTTTTAAAGATATCTCCAATGATGGGATTTCTCAAACACAAATGAAATCCCAGTAAATAAGATTCTGTCGTATGTGTTCGCAGTAACACTGATAACTGCAAAGGAAGTGCAATGATTCGAGACAATCGTCATTTTGTGCTTTCATTTCACGATCTGTGAACTTCAACGTCATTTTGAACGGTCTCGTTTAAAGCAGTAGAGTAAAATGACATAGATATACGCAGTTTTCTTTTGAGTCTTTTTTTAATCGAATAGGACGATCAAAATGATGTCAAACACATTGCTGTTGGAGTATCACTGATGAGGATTCAACTGCTCAATAAGTTCACTATTAATAGTTAAACTGGATATGCCCTGATGGTATCAAATTTTTTTGAATGAGCAATGCATCAACCTTTCAGAGCGATTCGCAGCATTTACAAGGCACTGCAAAGCGACCTTTCGAAAACGTTTCTGTTCATCATCAAGCGTTTTAAACTTTCCACCGTCTTCATCAAATCCTTCCATAACTGCTTCGAATACATCACGAATGAATTGCGTTAAGTGCTCCTCTTTTAAGGTTTCCAAGAGAGATGCAGATTCTGTGTTGACAGCAAAATATTTTCTGAGTCCAGTGAGTGCTTCAAGATCAAGCTGTCGGTCAACGAATACGTGATCGAAATGTTTTCTGATGACTTCATCTTGATCCATTGTGTTATCCCGAAAATAACAAATTTCACATTATGTGTACCGGAATGGCATGACATTTGGTTGATTTCATTAAACAACCCTAATCAGTGGTAAAACAGAACAAGTNAAGTGCTCCATTCCGGTTTTATACGATCAAACAGGCTCGTGGTGAGCGAAACAAACACCGAAAATTCTTTCCCGTTTGATGAACACGATAAAACTTCCTAATAATTCAACAGATACTCGTCCGAGGAAATCGTCGCGAACTGAACAAGTACTTGAACTGTAGGTAACGTTTTAAAGATCGAGTTTATTCTCTCCTTTCTTTTAGAAGGAAATTTTGCTACGAACCTGTGACCATATATTATCACACCTTGCAATTTGTTGTTGTGAATATACCGAAAGCATAAACAGCATGATGAATTTATTTGGGTGACATTATATAGAATTTATTCAGAACACCAAATGATACCAATTGTAAACAACTAAAAAAATTATTTGCTGAATTCTAAACATAACATAAATATCGAAAATGATGATCACATCAAATACAATACGTGATCATGAGAAGAACGCGAAGAATCATCCAGAAGTGACTGTTAAGAAAACTAAACGAATTGTTCGAATTTTCAAGTTTCATTATCAATAAACGACAACAACCAATACAATGAAACCAATACAATGAACGAAATTATAATCAAACTGGGAAATGATCAAGAGTGCAACAAATATAAAAAAGAAACGCCAAAATAAATTGATTGTTGACGGTTCTCTCATCACGTCCAATCACCTTCCTCCACATGAAACTTGGAAACCCCATGGTATTAGAAACTTCCTGGCTTTCTTTGCGAAATTTAGCAACAACCTAGTTTAATCGCTATGCCAATCTTAGAATACCCCCCGAAACTGTAACTTCAGTGATCGACAAAAGTCAAAATGCTTTAGGACACCAAACAAAAACGATTACGTAATTTGCTGATTCAGGAATAACGAAACTGTGAAGACGACACAGATACGTAATCAGGATGAGGCCATGGATGTTAACCTCTCTTTCTGATCACATATCTGCGTATCTACTTACCATATATTAAATCATTTCCACAATCCAATTCCTCTTTATTCACACGCAGATGAATTTCTTTCCAGCCAAAGATTATAAAAAACAGCTATTGAAAAAATACGACGGCATATGAAATACGATGAAGAAACAATCAAACAATGAATAAACGGAACTGAATAATGGAAAACATAAAATCAACAGTATGAGATTAAAGTATAAAAACATCCCGATTAATTGATTAAACAATGAACGAATTAAAATTGACGCCTATGATAGAGGTCAGGATCATAATAACTTGTTACAACGGTACGATTCGCAAACTTACGTCCAGTCAACGCGGCTTGTGCCTTCTGACACTCTTGTTTGCTGTTGAATTCAACGAATACCTTCAAATGAACAAACTTTGAAACAAATATATCCATTGAAATTGATCAATCGTTTTAAATTGATACGACAATACGATCAAATATGACAAAATTCGAAACGTCTCCTCAAACAAAGCAGAAAAAGCGAAAACGCTCTTATTCTCGAGCAGAAGGAAACTGAACAGCATTCACCTTTCCAACACCTGTAACGTCCACACCAGGAACTGCGCGAGGTACTTCAATTGATTTAACGAAACCATATTTGGCACATTCTTCACGAATATCCTCCAAAATATCTGCAAGAAATAACCATAGCATTGTAAAATTGGTCCAATTCGAGAACTTTCAATGTCATCCATTAGCTCAAACAGAATCTTCCCTAAGATAGAAAACTGGAGCTGATTATATGATGACTTTTCCACCTAACAAACAGATGATAGTCAACAGCGCTGTACGGCTCACCTTCATATTCTTCATCATCCTTCAACTCGTCCTCAGTCACCATATTCATCAAACACAGTACTTCCGTCGGTGGTCCAGCTCCATGCGACAGATCAATACCTGCTACCTGAATCTGCGGGAACGCTGTGGTGCTCATCGCGGCACGTGCATTTGCACACGATAGTTGCACGACGAGGTTCTTATCACCCAACTGCATTCCATTAAGTCCAGCAATCGCCTTTAATTGCAATCAATATTAGAGCATGATTCAGCAATATTCATCGTACGAGATAAAAACTGATGTTCAAATCAACACGCGTACTGCAAATCAATATGCGTCTTCAGAAAAACAATGAAGATAAATAAGATCGATGTTATGCGAATAAACAGCACGATTACGCGCTCTTGCTCGAAGCTCTAAACATGCTGAAGCTTACTCGACTAATAATATCCTAAATTTATGATAGTAAACCTTGAAATGAATTTTGATAAGAATTCATAATATTCAAATTCTAACACATTTGAGTGTGTTAAAGTATAAATTATGAACAAAAATGACCATCAGAATAAGCCACTCTCGATCACCAAATATTACCAATAACGATATCTGATGTTATATAAATCATGCTCAATTCGGAAACATTCGAAAAGTTTCGAAAATGTACGCTCCTTTTGTACACTCAACGGACAGCAGTAACTGTTAAGTGCTTATCACAGAGCACCATCGCTATTTTCTGAGCCAATTATTCAGCTTTTTATTTCAGCGCACAACAGATATCGCATCATTGTCATGTATTCTCATACAATTTCACATTGCTCATCATTTGGTCACTTTAGAAATTGTTCTTAAGCTCAACGAGTTTTCTTCAACCGTTACATCTTCTATGATCTTATCCTATTCACCTATCACTAGCAAATCAAACTGAAGCCACACTGGAGCTATTTTTGGACTTAAACACAATTGAAACTGAAAATTCAGAATAAAAATAAAAAAGTTTAAATTCAGAATAAAAATTCAAAACCTGGTCAGTGAGCGATGAGTCGAGATATTCAGCGAAAGCATATCCTTTCGAGACACCTGTACTCACATCAGTAACCAAATTGAATGCTTTCAGCTGTCCAAATGAAGATAGCAACTCCTTTACCTAAAATATTCAAACTATTTTCGCTCATTCTCCACCACTTCAGTATCCTAGTCGGAACAAACCTTTCACAAGCCCTCCATTTATTTTAGAACATCAAACAGAGAATCATTCATCCCTGTCCTATAATGGGAGTTCTCGATTTACAATATCGAAGCCTAATCACTACGTAAAAGGACGACATGAAAAATGTTGATGATGACAACACCACCCTGACGGCTCTGAATCCCTGAGGGTTTCTAAATGAACAAAACCTTGCCGACTCACAGATATACACACCCGGAGGCTTCTTAATGACCCAATCATTCACCACCAATCAATGAACATTGTCCCTGACCACAGTAAAAAATTCATTTAAATAGTGTTTATAGGCAAGCAACTTATTTCAAGCGTCTAAATGACCTAATGTTATGCACTGTGCAAAGATGATACCCTCCTTATCCACCCACTACAACGATTACTCTGATCTATCACCTGATAAGAAGACAATCAATGTATTTTCCGTATCAAATTCATTCATTCTGCCTAACTGTGTACATTCAAAACATTGCAATTCTCCGTATTGATCTAAAAATTAGCAGTAATGATCAGCTCAGCAGTCGTTTGGCATCACGCAGTGATATATGGAAAACCTGGAAGGAGTGAACAAACAAAAGTGCTTACTGTGCGCTCAGCTCAGCATAACCAATACATATTAGGTTCAGAGGGAATTTCGACACCATTTTAAATCTAAAACCTGAAATCGTCGACGAAACGAGACTACATACAGACAATGAATGTCATAAACAGGCTCATCAATCTCACAATTAAAATAAACACACAGTATTCTTGTATGAAAGCAGATGCCGATCAAGGTTTTCAAAGAGAATCTGACTCTAACTCGTTAAAACCTTAAAGTCTGATTCTAATCTCACGAACCTTGAGAATCTATCCTTAAGTTTAACTGAAACAGGTGATTAACGTGCGATCTGAAATAAGACTAGATCAAACTAAATGAATGGGAACATCTAAATGTCATTTCTTTCCAGTGCTTATATTCATCGGTCATCATTTCAAATTTCTCTCACATAATATGCGCAGAAGAGAGGATATCTAATATCTAATTTGAAGACGGAGTTTTAAACTGCAAATCTATCAATTCACCAGAACGACTCTCTAAAACTGCTATTTGAAACAAATCGCCAATCAACAGTATTCATGACATAAACAACTGTAAATGATACGAGAAGTGAATCAGCATGCCTAAATAATGAATAAGAACAGAAAGAGAGAAAATAAGACAGAAGGCAAGTTAAAACTGATACGCCTGAAAGCTGAAAGAAAACCGCTGAATTGTCTGAACACCCCTGAAAGAAGGCACCGTTTGGGATAGTCTAAAAACAACAGTATGGACAACGAAGATGTATGTGTTCACGAATTTAGGTAACGTCCCATCCTGAAACACCTAAAATATCTAAAAAAATGTGCGTTCGAGGATATATGAGGTATGCATATATGTACAATATTTTCTTCATCCATCTCACAGTCAGTAGTTGTATGATGCATAAGAGAGCAAAGAGTGCGCGTCTCGTGACTGACGGCCACTGAAATAATGTGGCCCAATTAGTAATTCAATCAGTATTTTAGCAGTCATGCATTTCATACTCTCTTCATTCCGGTCTACTCATCACAACTAATGCAACAATTCATATGTTCATTGTAACCTCGCTACAATTTCATTATCTGATAACAAAGAAAAATAAACTCAAAAATCCATTATTCAAGGCGATAGGCAGTGAATTGATAATGATTCTGAAGTACGAGTCAGAATCATCAAATGATATGGAAACAGATAATCTCCTATACGAGACCAATACAATTCACTGTTCGTTTCCCCAGAGGATATGAACTCAAAAATCAAAAAACATAACGAGAAAAAAACTAGACATAACTCCCCTCCCGCTCTAAAAACAGAATATTTCGAACGAACCTGGTCTGCATTCAGATAACTTGGTAATCCTCCGATAAATATCTTGTATGGACTATCTGCTACAATGTTTGATACTGAAATGAGAGAAAGTCACTTAGCTGTTTCAGTTACTTGGAGTTGAATCGAGTCTTCAAGGATAATCAAAGAGAACATTTGCAAAATTTAAAAATTTTCGCCAAACAGCAATGTATAAGGAAATTCATAATAAACGAATTAAACATGAACTCACCCATCATAGCACTCATGTCATATGAAGTACTCATTGGTTGATAGTCACGAGGTCTACGAATTTTTAGTTGCTGTCCCATGAAATTGATGCCATCGAAAGCCATACCAGCAGTTGTCTCATCGATCGATCGAAATTCAATGAACGCAAAATTCTTATCCAAATTCATTTGACACGCTAACACTGGATTACCAGGCGCTTGCGCTAAACCACACAAATGCATCTGAAAGACAAATTCGAATCAATCACTCGAACATATTTAGAGAAATTTGCTACAATCGCTTTCATATGTCAACCAAAACTACATAAGTCTCCTGACACATTAATTAAATCAAAATTCAACACTCCAACACCATAAATAATACAAATCAAAACAAAAGAAACGAGCCTGTTGATTGAAAAAGTCAAGCATTGCATCCTCACTACATCCAAACGGAATATTACCCACATACAAACGTCTCGACTGACAAGTTACTGACGGCCCCACGACGGGTACGGCCGATTGAACGTTATTTCGAGGAATCTGCCCGGCCGCTAAAAACCAAACAAATACGCTCAACGAAACAAACATTACGGAAGTTTTGTTGAATGAAGATGCGCGATTGTCGACGGTCTCGCTGCCCGTCTAGCCAACCGGATGACTTTCATAATCAGCCGGTAAAAACAGATTCGGTTGAAGTGGGAGGAACAGCATACCTTGTAGTTCCTTATACTCTTTCGGCGTCAAATGCTCATAACCAACTGGTGGAACATCCCAGAACTTGTATTTCTTCTTTGGTCGATCCTTTTCCTTCTCTTTCGAACGATCACGACTTTTATCATGGTGACGGCGACGCTCTCGATCTCGACTAAAAACATGAGGACATACGATATGTCCAAACACGACACATGAGCTAATCATGATCAGAAAATAAAACGCATTTCTCCGCAATTGCACCAGTCTCTATCATTGACCCATATTGACTAACATCAGCAAAATTTTTGCTCCTTCAAAATCAGTTTCCACATGATACACACAATTTCATATCTAGTTTATCGGTACAAATATTTTGCATAAATATAAGCATACGACTACATTAACTGCACGTTCATTTACTTTTTCTTTAATCACATTCATCAATGCGAAACTAAACAAGAACAGGAAATCTTACGATCTTGATTTGGAACGGGACCGTCTGCGGTGACGATCTCTACTTCTACTTCTCGACCGGCGTCTTCGATCTCGATCGCGATCCTTATCGTCTTTCTTATCACGCTTATCTTTATCTCGGTCTTTTTCTTTATCCTTCTCTTTATCTTTATCCCTATCACGTTCCCTATCCTTTTCCTTCTCTTTTTTATCCTCTTTTTCCTTCTCCTTGTCCTTGTCTTTTTCATCCGACGTCGAATTGACCGCCGGTTGATCCTAAAAACACGAGAATATAATTTCAATTTTTACCTCAAAACATGATACAGACGTCAATTAGCGAAAATTTCTTTCCAGTGTAATATTGAACGAATAACTCAATGAAATTATTTCGTCAATTACGAACTGCCAATATCATTGTACTACCATTGTTAATATCATAATACTATCCAAATTGATAGCATTTCAAAAGTTACAACAACTGTCGTCCATCATTTGATATCAATAAAATTAAAACATAACAGATAGAAATCGACATAGATGCATGAATAACATTGAATCAAAAACACTTATGAATACATTGCCTTTGCTCTGCGCAGATAATTGAAGCGGATGAGTAAAATAATGAGAACACATTCCGACTCTCGCGGACATCATTTCTATTGTGGTACGTGAAAAACAGGATGAATTTTCTAGCCTTGGGTAATAAGGCAGCAATTTTTGGATCGAGTGGAGCTGCCGAGGGACCGTCCTTCCGTTGTCTTACTTCCATATACGCCTTCGCTACGTCCTCCATTTTCGCCTCATCATCATCCTCAAGTGCCTCCTGCTTCTGCTCTGGTTTGATGGGTTGTTGCGCAACCTCAGTCATCCTGAAACAAGATTTGCTGCTCGGCGGATAACCTTTCTTGAATCGGAGAGAAAACCGCCAGATTTCAAACGCATTCATAAATATATCGCAGACTGGAAGGTTTTCTCACGATGAATGAAATCAACACTCTCGCTTCTGCAGAGACCACAGTTGCTGCATTTCGGTATGCTTGACCTACATGGGACTTTGGAGAACTTATTAAAAGAAGTCAAGGCCCAAAATATCTAACTCTCTCCCCCGATTCTGAAAATATCAACAATCTTCCCAAGGCACGCGTCATTTGTTAATGACCGCGCCGCTTTCCATGCAGTAGATAGTTAACGAACTGCCACAATAACGACCAAGCACCTCGCCAAGAAATCATCAAGCACTTAATGGTAGAAATATGTGCGAGTCAGAAACCGCTTGTCAATGGCGAGAAAAAGCGATGGGCACTCATCAGATAGAGAGAGCGAACGAAGCCGTGCTGAAATTTAGTGAGTTTAAACGAAAAGGATGGAGGCATGACTACAGTTAACGCATTACACGATGTTACAAGAACGTTAAATCACAATCGGTCATGCGAGTGTAGTCTTTCCTCACACATCAAAACGATCCAGGAACGCGTTACTGTGTGAGCGAACGACTCACTTATTTGTGAGAACACTTCAGTTCCAATAAAATAACCACCAGAAATCCGAGGTGTTTGCTGAATATCGAATCAAATGATTTGTCGATTATTTACGTAAGTGAAATCGATTTGTGGATGCAAAACAACAACATTGAAGGAATGATATCATAACGAATATGTCATGCAAACGAAACGGAATTTACACGCAGAGAATATTCACGAAACAATCACCTCAATAATGGATAATTGCTGTGATCCCCATGCAGCGGATGGACTCACACTCGCAGATGACAACGCAACAAACTTTCCTGCCAGCGAATGTAATCGCTTTAATTTTTTCATGACGTTCATAAGGCTTCAGTTGATTCATAAAGAGATCCAATCAATGGAGAATGCAGATTCAGACGACAAAAGAAAGACGAGAGTGGGACTCGAACACAGGCCTCCAAAGAGACCGGTGCGTTAAACCAAAGCCTTAGACCGCTCGTCCATCTCGCCCATACCACAATGTTCCATGCGTTTCAAACGGAAGAGATTCTAGTTTCGTGATGTTCAAAATAATTCCCTTGATTGATAAACACATCCAATCAATGAAGATTTCGGATTCAGACCATAAAAGGTTGACGAGAGTTGAAATCGAACCCACGCCTCCGAAGAGACTGGTGCCTAAAACCCACGTCTCGGAAGGGACTGGTGCCTATAACCAGCGCCTTAGACCGCTCGGCCA